GCCGGAGCAGCGGGAGTTGAGTTATTTCCAAATCTTCGGATTAACGAAGATTATTATCAAACAAAATGGTTGCATCTGTTATGAGATAAAAACCATTGCTCTATGATATAAGATCGCCATCATTTTGTTAACTATTTATTATCTTATCTGATAAAACTCTTTTAATCCCACGAACACAACATGTTTCATATTGTTTATTTATGTTACGGTAATTTTTGAAATTCTCACGTTTTGTCAAACGCCCAGATTTTGCTGTAAAAATGTAAGTAGGTGAATTCCGGTTTCCAAACAATTGAACGTTAACATTATCTTCCGTAATTATTTAATTATTTCTCATCACCTTTGTAGGCTAATTATGATAAAGTGAAGCTGCAAAGCCGTGGTTGCGGTTCAATAGCAATAATGGGCCTCGGATGAAGAGAAAGAACAAGGTGGTTTTTGTTTTTAATCAGTAACAGTCTGATAGGTACTAGGTACTTTTCGGCGGAATAGTACGGCGACTAGTTTTCACCCTTCTATAAGCATATATCACGTAGAAAGGACATTATTTAATAATATATCTCTTGCTTATTAAATCCATTTGTCAAGATACTTAGATAAAAAACCATTTGGAATAAGATGTAACTAAATTGACACAATAATTGTTAACATCCAATCCTAATGGAGCAATCATCGAATAAGCACTTGCACTTATAATAATTTGCACCTTGATACAAGTTTTTTTTTTATGTGATACGTTTGCAAAGGAGCATGCAGATTACCTGATGGACCAACAGAGGAGTTACGAGTACGTTGCCGACCTTTTGGGGATAAGGGATTTGGGATTAGGGAGATTTAGGGATTGAGGAAGGGAACGATTGGGCCTCCAGTCACCTCACTCACACGGCGAAACACAACACTGTGGTTGTTTCACGCCGGTTTTCTGTGAGGCCGTGGTATCACTCCGGTCGAGCCGACCCGTTTGTGCCGAAGCATGGCTCTCCCACACTTGAAGATTAGTTGCAAACAAATGTATAGAAAATTGCTCGTAGGTATAATGTTCAACGTGTTTGATTACCCATTGCAAAAACAATCTAGTAAGGTATTCATTCATAAAAACACTTGATGGTGAACATTGCTACACTGCGAGTGCAAATGATGTTAAGTGCACCACCAACACTCTGTTAGTACCTAACAGACGGCCATCAGTCAACAACTAATCCCCAATGCCAGAGAAAGTGGGTCTTGTTTCATAAGATCAGTGTACACAAACATACGTGCATACATTCAGTTTATTAGTAGAAGCTACATACCTACACAGTTACACGACCGTTGTCATTGTTCTGCGTTTAATTAATCTTGCTTATGTATGCATTTTGGCTGTGTCTGTGTAGTTCGCGCCATTCATCTGGTTATATCCTAGATGTAGGGTACAACAGTATTAGTCTATACTAATATTATAAAGAGGTAAAATTTGTAGGTTTGTATGTAGGGAACGGCTAGTCGGATTGCCAAAATTTGTTTACTGGTTTATACATACAATGTTCCTGGGTATAAAACACGCTACGGTCAAATGGAGCCGAGCAGCGCGTGAAACCGCGCGATAGTAGCTGGTGTGTAATAAAAATAGAACGCATTGGATTTTGGAATTTATAAACTAACTAGATAGACCCACGTGGTTTCACAAGGTACTCGGCTCCATTTGATTGAAGCGTGATGTTTTATAGCCTATAGCATTCAGAAATATTGTTGCTATACACGATTGAAAGATTTTGGAAATCCGACCAGTGGTTCCATAGAATACTCCCTACATACAAACTTACAAATTTTACTTGCTCAAGGCGGATTGACGATTTCAAATTTATAGAAATTATTAGTCCAGGTTTCCCCACGATGTTTTCCTTCGCCGTTCTTAGTTCAGTGGTGTCTAAATAATCATAGAAAATACATATAACTCGCTAAAAATCACATTGGTCCTTACTTATCAGGTTTCAAACATCGCTACTCCTTCGCAAGCGGAAAGCCCTTAATCCTCCTACAACCACCACGACAGTCAACTTAACACATCCATAAAACACGTGTAAGATAATTAATTTTAAATTGCTTGCAATAAAATAAGATGTTAATCGAAGCAATAATTGTTGACACCCTATCCGGTTGGGACATAATTGCAAACGACATTACAAATGTATTCGTACAGTAATTACGCTAAAAATGATGCATAGCATGACAGACTACTTTTGCTTTCGTCTGCAATCCAACTTTCGCCAATCACCTTTTTTTTCTTTACATAAATTATCGAGACGTTCAAAACGTATGAGTAACGCCTTATAACTTGTACCTACCTACGTAATATCAAAGATTTTATCAAAAGCCTGTGCTTCAGGCTACCTATAAAACTTTTTTCTTTTTCATCATCATCAGTCTATAACTGCCTACTGCTGAGCAAAGGCCTCTTCTCACACAGAGGAGGTTTGAGCATTAATCAACACGCCTGCTCAAGGTAGATTGGCGACTTCAAGCTTATAATTAGAAAAATATAAGTGAAATTCGTACCTATTAACGCTAAGAAGTGGCATTGGGTCTTGAAAGATTTTGAACCCGCATCCTTCTACATACATACAATGAAAAGCGGGCGCCTTAACCTCTGGGCTACCACGAAATTATTCTTTTACATATTTAGTTGAAATAAATTCTCATTCTAACTCTATGGCGCCAGATAAATGTGCGAAGATCTCTATGCTACATTTAGAATATAAAATAAGCAACCGAAGACTCAGCAATGCAAGTAAATGGCACCTGTCCGGTCCAAAACGTAGTTCCTATTTCTATACGTGACTCCGACTACAGGCAATTTATATCTCCACGGCGAAACAGGTTGAAAACGTCAAGTCAATAAAAGCAAAAAGCATTGAGTTCGTTCTCAGTTTAACGAAGAGTTTTTTTTTTATTGTAAAAAGTTTCTATTCTGCACAGAATTTAGCCACGAATGGTAAAAAGGTACCGACCGCGACGACCGTGTTTTATTTATTTATACCTACAATCACCTAGTTTATTATCTCTTACTTAATGTTTATTTACGTAATTCTTAATGCTTGATTTATTGATTTTTAAAAAAATAATAATCATTGTATATTAATTATCTGCTTTCAACATACGATTCCGCCTTTTTTTAATATTCGAAAAAATCCCAGACCGTTAAATATGGCGGGCGTAAAAAACGTCTTAACATGGTAATCTGCTTCGTAAGTAGGTACTTGATGTCGTTTTGTGTGAAACAAATTGAGATATACGTTTAGACTTCAACGTGCTGTCCTAAACCGCACAAAACCTGCGTGTCTCCGGTCGGTTAACCGCGGTTCTACCTTTTGTGCTGCTAACCTAGTTAGTATGCGGCTTCCGTACTGCGCATGCGATTAGTTTAAATGATTTCAGACTAACATTGGCACGAAACACACAAGTTCAACGTTTTCATTAAAATTCCTGAATAAATAGTTTTTTTGTTTTTATTTTATAGTGCTTCGGTTAGCGACCTAGTCAGATTAAGAATGAAGCAATAAAATGTCTTACCTAAAGGTATTTTAAAAGAAACATTTTTGTTGTAAAAGTTTTACGACACACATAACTCGAATGACAATAAGTTGTTGATAAATAAGGATATTTTAAACAATGCGCACGTAACAGCTAAATTTACACGATGTGTCAACATTGACGACACTGACTCACTAAGTATGAAAACATCATAAAGGTTTTCTCCCAAGAAATTGGCAATCGAAGACACACACCCATTTGAAGACCCACCTACTGCCCAAAATAAGCGCTTGTTTCACCTTTATATAAATTCCCGCCTTTATTGCTGTCTATACCAACATCGTACAAACAATAATACCGACCCCTTTGGTGGTTTATAATACAGATAATTTATTTTTAGAAACCCAAAGGCGGGAAAAACAAAACAAACCAAACACAGCTTACGTTACTCTTTATATTTTTCACAACGACATGAAATAACAAAAAATGAATAAATTGTCTAATATAAATAATATCATTAAAACAGAATAATAATTTAAAAGAAATAAAAATATCACTGCTAGCGGAATAAAGAAAAAGTCATCGACAATGTGAAGTGGCGGAAAAATATATAAAACTTACGTTTGCTTCAAAACTGTGAAGAGAAATGAATTTATTACTTATTCTTAAATAGGCTAAGTGACGGCCAAATTTAAAATTATTAATTTACCTTTTTTAATCTAATACGACCAAGTATGGACGGATACTGTTTTCTTTATCTCATAAATAGCTGCTATTCAGACATTATGGAACATACCCTTTTTTTGTGAGAAAAGAAATCGCCAAATGACTTATCTCGCCCAGCCTGAGATGAGAGACAGTGTCAGACTTTTACTGACTAAAAACCTCCCGTTTCTGCTCCTGCTCTGGGTCGAGGCTGCGATACCTTGATCTGAACATCGGCCCTGTAGGCCCCCGTCTGCGGTGGTCTTTTGACTATGAAGCATGACCTTAATATTTTCTTTTCCTTGAAACAACAACTGTTCACAATAATTCAAAAATACCTGTTAATGTATTAAAATTTCTTTAAATTATTTAACACTGTGATGACGTTTACCTACTATTTGTGTCTTATGTGACCTCTGAGAGTCTCTTTTTGGAGTAGTCAGACAGGAAGTGTCGAACTCATCTAGTTTTTTATTTTCGTTGACGATATTTTGGAGACAAAAGAACATCATATTATCAATGTTAAAATAGCAAACTTTGTCATGATATCTACTCAGCAGCTTCACTAGCTAATTTTCATTCGGGTCCCCAATACAAATTGCGTTTAATAATATTCTACAAAACCTTGCTTCGCACCAACCGAAGCATGATTTCTCTGCACTACCCTATGGTTGACTATTAGAGAATGCCATAAGGCATTAAATCCGCAATTCAGACTGTTTTGTGTGAAGAACAAAACATAAGAAAATAATCATGTCTAATAATTTTTCTTCTGATTGTTCCAGGCAAACTGGTTCAAAGCCCAGCAGTACTGCAGGTTCCACGGCATGCATCTGGCTTCAATCTCCTCGCAGCAAGAGAATGATAAACTGGAACAATACGTTAAGGATTCAGGTAAATACATTGACATTTTTATTACGCTGATGATGTAGTGACGTGACAGTGGACGCGGTGGCTGGGGAACGGGCTGCCGTGCAATATATCAAAGGTTACATTCCCACACTGAACAACTCTTTGTGTGATCCAGGATCCACTAATTGTTTTTTTTTGGTCTGGGTGTGTGTGCATGTGAAATTGTATGCTTGTAAACTTTTAGATTTTCTCCTGTATCGTGGGTACTGTAAAAAAATACAGGGTCCAAGAAAGCGTATGAAAGAAATGGTTGAAAAAAATCTTTATGAGCCAAGACTTAACTAGCTCTATAGATCTTAGATCTTAAAATTATTTAGAGAAACTATGTAGGTAAAACATTCTGTTTAGATAGTTCTGTTAAACAAGAAGATGATGGCTATATATTCTTGGAATCCATATCTAGGTCTTGAGAATTATTTTATGCTTTACTTAACGGCATTGAATGTGTTCATAATGTAGGTACATACATATGTAGCAATAATAACCTTTTGTAGTAAAAGTATATTTATTTCAAGTAACCAGGTCGATATAACATAATAGAGGAAATGCCAATGTTTTAATTATAGTACCGACTCAAATACCAAGCTATAAATTACTTGTATGTGTGTAATTACATTCCGTACTTATGTTCCGTTGTATATCCTTGCAGGTTTTGGCCGCGAACACTTCTGGACATCAGGCACTGATTTGGCTGAAGAAGGCAGTTTCTTCTGGATGGCGAACGGCAGACCACTGACCTTCGTGAACTGGAATGCTGGAGAACCTAACAACTTCCGCTACGAGAATGGAGAAGAAGAGAACTGCTTGGAACTGTGGAACAGAGATGACAAGGGTCTGAAATGGAACGACTCTCCTTGCTCCTTCGAAACTTTCTTCATCTGCGAAGTGAGGTCTGATTGATGGCCCCCTCCGCTAGATGTCATTAGTTGTTGTGTGATTGTACAGTAGTGTGCTAGATGTCGCCATTTGTTACATAACTACCTGCAGCCGTGCCTGTGAAGACACTTTTCGAAACTATCGCGATAGTTTCTTGAAAACTGCACCCTGACCAAGTATAAACTGCGGGAATTAATACCCCATTTTAATGAGAATCAACTGATCTCTTTTCTTATATTGTAACTTGCCTTTTCATAACACTGAGGATAATAATAAAATGTTTTTCAAACCAAATTTAACGTAATGTAATTAACGTTGTTGTGTATGTTCGTATGTTGAATGAAATAACTAATCAACTTGTTAATTCTCCATTTTTCTTAAACTTACATGTTGTGTTCAAGACGATTGGTAACTTTACGAAGAATTTTTATGTCGAAAATTAATTCGAATTTAGCGAAAACCGTTCGGTCAGTATAGATAGGTAACGTAATATTTAAATATTTGATTATTTATTTGTTTTTTTTTTATTCACGACTTCGTTTGGGACGTATTCGGTAAGGGTTTTAAAGAAATGCAATAGACCTGGATATTATGTAACTTTTTCTTATATTTGATGTAAACGATCACTGCCTAATGATCTTGTAATAAACCTCCGAGCTCGTGCTCAACGGGACACGTGTTGTCCATAGTCAAACATAGTGGGTAAATAAAATATAGTTACCGTAGGTGTAAATGTATAAAATAGTCTTTAAGTACAGACAATAAAACTCATAAGTGTATTTTTTCTTTGTTTTATTTAAACCTCATTTCGCTCGCAACTATGCCCAGGCTTAGATAAACCGATCTAGATGTGGCGATAGTCATTTGTTTTAAAGTCATGATTCCAAACATTTATATTTATTCCAACTATACGTATAAAATACGTACAAGTAAGTACCTTTGAAACAACGAGCTTTGGGAGTCTTGAAATTTTCAAAGACAGAAAATACATTTATTCAGCACCAAGCACGATGCAGCATATATAAAGACAAAAAAAGTGTGACAGTAGAAGTAAGATAAACATGAGTTAAAGATTAAAACAGATGAAACAGAAAATAGACGCTACAACATGCCCATGCTAAATGGGTTACCCACTCAGTGTAAGCTAGGCATACAAGTCGCCCAGCACTGATTTTCAGTGGGCACGCCTAGACAAATACAATATATGACTGACCTGATCATTTTGTTGAGTCTGACGTCACATTTTTTTGAAGCGATCTCCCTCATAAAACATATTAAATCCATCAAATTACTTCTATTACCCAGGATGATGCAATTTCTTTCCATTTAATTTTATTATCTAACGAAGTATAATGATCTGGGAAACCAAAGTAAAAAAAAATATATTTCAGAGGATATTCTTTAATTGTGTACAACGTAACTCTTGCAGTAAAATATTGGCAATACTTACTACACCTAACAACCTAATCAACTACCCACCTACTATTTAAAAAAAGTGTACACAACATCCAGAAGTCCTTAAGTACTAAAATACCACTACAGCACTACCTGCCGTTTCCAATATATGAAAAACCTAAATTTTACACTTAGTTTAACCTTCATATACATAAATTGGCTTTGAAACCACTTATTATTATGATGCGAGTTACTTCAGGCACAATTCCAGAGAATTTTTCAATATAGATCATTTAATCAAAATTTTATTGAATTCGAATTTGGACTAATAAATTTAATCTTCAATAGCTAAACAATTAGGTCTATTTACCTTTACTAGACTTTTTTTTAAAGAATTCCGTTTATAACAACCTTAAATAACAGAATCACCTCACAAAAGAGAACTAAATAGTAAACAAAACTAAAGTATAAGCCAAAACTTCAACGCAAACACACCACAAACCATTCCAGCGACCATTCTTTTTAATTTTCCACTCGATTGCAAAATTCAGCGAGAAACTTACATCCAACAGCCTACCATCGGTTATTTCCTGAAAATTTCATGCGTCCGCCGCTTGTCGGGTGGCGTATGTAAATGAAAGGAGGTTTTAAGGGGAGGGGGTGTAACAGCTGAAGGGTGTGGGGGATGAAGCACGTGCTACCGAACTTATTAATAACAAAGTCACGTGTTTTGTGAAGCCTTCACGTCTTCCACCTTTCTGTACAGTTCAGTTTTCAGTGGTGTTCAGAAATCAAAGGTTCTGCTGTTAAAGATTTTCTTCGATTTTATAAAGGAGATGAGGTTCTAGGTATACTAGGTTATGTGTACAAGACTAACCTATAAAATACCTCCGTGAAATGTCTGAAGCACCTGTTTAATTAGAAGCTGATGGTGACGGTTTACCTAACACTAAGTTGACTGCACGGTTGGTGCGGTGGCTGGGCAACTGGCTGCCGTGCAACGTGTCGCGGGTTCGATTCCCGCACGGAACAACTCTTTGTGTGATCCACAAATTGTTGTTCCGGGTCTGGGTGTCATGTGTATGTGAAATTGTATGTTTGTAACCGCGCCCACGACACAGGAGAAAATCCTAATGTGGGGTAATGTTTTTTAAAAAAAAAAAAAAAATAACAGCTTGGTAGAAGCTTTCAGGTTTTGAAGTACTTCGCTCAATAACAACACAGAACGTGAAACTGAGGTCGATTGTACAATGATAAGCCAGCCTTCCTTTCCTGCAACTTAGGGGTTCATAACCCATATTTTACGTGGTTTTAAGTGGAATAGGTAAGTAACATTGAGTATACAACCTCCTACGATAACAAGAGAATGCAAATAGAATTAAAAAAACAAAACTTTAGTTTCTTTTTTTAAAACATGGCACATGTCTATTGGGACAGGTTTTTATATAGGATAGGTTGGCACTCGAGCAGACATATTACCTGAATGGTACGCAATTAGTGCCGCCCATGAACACCCACAACATCAGAGGAGTTACGAGTATGTTGCTGGCCGTTTGGGGATAAGGGTTTAGGATATTTAAGCATTGCGAAGGGATGGGGAGCTCCAGTAACCTCACTCACTTGACGAAATACAACATTGTTGTTGTTACACGCCGGTTTTCTGTGAGGCCGTTGTATGACTCCGGTGAAACAGACTAATTCGTACCTAAGCATGCCTCTGCTACACTGAATAGTTTTGAATGACAGTATAAACTTATACAATGTAATATAGTTATTTATAAGATGAGTGAGTGTTTACTTGAATAAAACCTTCGTGGGTCGTCGGAACGGAAGCCTCCCCCCGCACCCCGCCCGCCCTGCACCCGCCCCGAACCAACACTTGCAGTTCTCTAGCTAAACAACACGCTGTTATGCAATCACCCTCGTCATGTAGTTAGGAACGTACATTATTAATAGAACTTTAGAATTTAGTTAATATAAATTGTACTACGTAATATGTATTCTAAATTGTAAGATTTACGATAAAAGGGATGATGGCAGCGTATAAAAATAAAAAAATATCAGATCTATGTCGTTTATGAAAAACGTACTACTACTAGAACAGAACGAATTTAAATTTAGAAGTTGTAATTTCTTTCTACGCTGCTCAGTACCTATAGGTAAGTACTTAAATTCACTAAATCGCGACAACATACGATATTTCAAATCAATCTATATATGTATACATCGTCAATCAAAAATTTTCGACATTGTAAGAAACGAAAAATTTGTATCCAATGTTTAAACTAATCTATCAGATTGACATTAATCAATAATTATCCATAAAAATATTTTCCGAGTTTTTTATTACCTATGTTTACCAACTACAAATCTTTCTTTCTTCCTTTATCTTGACACTATAACTCGTATTTACACTTAACGACAAACAGCATCCAGAATCCAGACAGGGTGTAATCCTCTAAATTCACGGCACCTTCCCTGGACTATCATTGCAACCCATCGAGGCTTCTACTCATTTCCGTACCCCGCCGGCAATCGGTCCCTAAGCCCACTACAACAAAACAAACAACTTTAAACCCTCAAACATTGAACTAAAGCTTCTTTTTCCCTTACACCAACAAACTGACAAGTCCCTTTACCCACTACCAACGGAATTAAAACCTTATGGGACAGTCCAAAGAGTGATTTTCAAGTGTAAATAGGAGCTTATTGCAACACAACGTTGTATACCCCGAGGGGATATAGTTAGATTGAAGATATTAGTGTGTTTAGCCGTCTGTTATCATTCAAATATCCGTTTGTATGTTTTTTGGTTTATTTTTAGTTAGGAAGCTCAAATATTACAAGTGAAAATGCCTATGCAGCAAAAAGGTCGAATAAAAGTGCCTGGCTGTATGAACGAGTTCCTGCGTCACGTCTCCCTCTGAATAAACAATAATATGACAGAACAAGTTTTTTTTTTCTTTTGAGCCTTGTGATATACGGGAGCTTTAATATTTCGAAACCAAATAAGTCAGAGTGAATATTAAAGTAGATCCTACTCAATATGACGTGTGTAGATATCATGGTGAGGTACCAGATTTTGAGTTTAAAAAAATATGTTAGTAAAAATATATAAAGCATGACAAAATCTCACTACTATAATTAGAATTAATGAAAAAAAGAGTATTATAATTACCATAAGGGTAAAGACTATATTTATAGATCTAGGAGGAAACCAATGCAGCTAAACGTGTTTGGACAGCGGGGGTTTCCTTGAACCTTGGAGAATGAAAGCTCCTGCCAGGACCAAGTCTATTAGACTTGGTCTAATCCTTCCCTTCCCAAAAATCCTAAACATCTGAAACCGTAACCTCAAAAAGCCGGCATCGTACTAGTTACTCCTCTGATGCTGCGGGTCTCCACAGGCCGCTCCGATTGCTTGCAGACCTACCATCAGGTAGATAACCCGTCTGCTCGTTTGCTGTAACTTGTCTATATCTTTACATATAAAAATTTGTGTCACGTGTTTGTCCATGATGGACTCCTAAACTACTAAACCGATTTTAAATTTTGATTTGCATTCCGTGTGCATTTTGATCCAACTTGAAAGATATGATAGCTTACATCTCAATTTATAGTCACAATATTATTTACCTTAGCCACAGCAACGCGTGGCTAGGTCTGCTAGTACTTACAGAAAAATTCATTGCCAATTCTATTAAATAAACATATTGTGTATTAATCACCAAGTTTAATTAAAATCAGTTCAGTAGTTTTAAAGATTATAAACAAGAAAGATTAGGTATATGAAAAGCCCTCGCAGCGTAAAAGCTCTTAATACACCCCCTAATCGCCAATTAGTTTATTATTTTGTTTCTTCTCTATACTAACATACTACCTCCCATTATCAACATTAACTCTCAACCAAATCCCATAATTTATAAGGACAGGTGAACCTCAAGTGCACACAAACCAATATAATTTACCGTGCACGAGGGAAATCAGAAAAACCACGGTGTGATCGGCATCTTTATGGTGACCCTTATACATATAACATAGAACTTTTGACCCCATAACAATAGCATACGGAATTAAAACCATATGCGTCCATTTTATGATTACTAAAATGTAAAAGTTGGTACTTTTACCTCTGAATTTGTTTCAAAGTTTTTATTTCATTAACAGACGAAATCTTCTTTTTGAGAGGGAAAACTCGTGAAACTTTGCTACTTCGGGTGGGAAAAGTCACTCCCGCCCTAAGTGGGGCAGGAGGGAGAGTCAGATGCTTATCGACTAACACCCACCCATAGTTCAAAGTTAAAAATGGAAACCACTATTAGCCATAGCCAAGTAAGTAAGATACTTCCGGGGTTGCGGGGCTAGCTCAATAAGGTACAACAGC